ATGTGCACAGAGCGACAAGCTTCAGTCCTGTGGTGTGTACTTGGCTTTAGTGAATAAGACCCGATATCTATAACACATAAACACACACACACACACACTGTTCAGATTCTTCGGAGTATACAGAAGGAAGTCTGTTAGCTGCTCTACGGCTCAGCATTCTCTGGAATCACTGTTGTCTCTGTCAGCATTTGCTCGTTTAATGGCCTGCTCCTATATCAGCGCTCCTTCCCCCTCTCGTGTCCGTAGGAAATGCGCCCTGCTTTTTTTTTTTAGCGTGCTAACTGCAAAAATAAACAAACAGACAAGTCCTATCCACCTGTCTGTCCTCGCTTGGCCCTCTCCCAGGTGCGGCGGGGTGTGCTCTCCCTGCACTTGCACCCTGGGCCTGAAGGGCTTTGTGTTGTTTTGCTGCCAGGATGATCAATGGCTTGTTTGTGATAGTGGGGAGAGATGGCCCGGACCACACAGCCGCAGCGAGCAGGGGGAGGTTAAGGAGGAATGCTGAGCCGGTTAGGGAAATCTGCAGCCTGCACCTGTTGCTGAGTGTTGCTGGGCCAGTGGGGTGGTCGGACGTCACATGGGCTCTGCTTCACATGAAGCTGGGACTTGTTTCTCAACCTTCTCCTCCTTCCCTTCATAGCTGCAGCCTGGGCTTGTGTCTCCGGTTAGGAAGAGGAAAATCAAAGCTGGTTTTACCTTAGTGACACTTTAGTAACTTTGTTCATTTAGAGAGAGTAATTGTCATTCACCTCTGACTAAATGTATTAGTCTATCGATATAATTATTTTTTTCTTTGAAAATAAATTAATAGTTTTATTCCATAAGAATGCATAAAATGTATTAAAAGTCACAATGAAGACAAACATATTTCTATTTCAAATAAATGCTTTTATTTTGAACTTTCCAGTCATCAAAGAATCTTGAAAAAAATGTATCACGGTTTCCACAAAAAATATTAAGCAGCACAACTGTTTTCAACTACAGTAATAAACAGAAATGTTTCTTATGCACGAAATCAGCATATTAGAATAATTTCTGAAGTATCATGTGACACTGAAGACTGGAGTAATGATGCTGAAAATTCAGCTTTTCCATTACAGGAATGTTACATTTTAGAGCAGGGGTGCCCAACCCTGCTCCTGGCGATCGACTGTCCTGCAAAGTTTAGCTCCAACTCTAATCAAAGACACCTGCCTTTAATTTTTAAGTGATCCTGAATACCCTAATTAGTTGCTTCAGGTGTGTTTGATTAGGGTTGGAGCTGAACTTTGCAGGAGAGTCGATCGCCAGGAGCAGGGTTGGGCACCCCTGTTTTAGAGCATATTAAAATTTAAAAAAATAGACAGTTATTGTAAATGATAATAATATTTCACAATATTACTGTTTTACTAAAATAAATGCAGCCTTGGTGAGCATGAGAGACTTCTTTCAAAAAAAAAATTTAACCTCTTACAGGTTAAAAAATATGAACGGTAAAGTTTTTTTAATTTTTTTTATGTGAATTTTTGAAAATTGTAAAATGTGTACAAGTACTATTTTAATAAACTTTTTTTTCATGTTTGTGAATTTTCAGCAAAAAATATTTACGCAATAGTATACTTCAAATTTTTTTTTGGGGGGGGGGGTATTTTCAGTAACTATTTTGTAAAATAAGGCTTTGTTTCTTTTATTAAACTGCAAATTTTAGGATTAGAAGAAATAGATCTTTAGTGTCATTGTTTAAAATCAACGAAAAACTATTTAACTATTTATTTTTAAGTAAACGTTTCTATTTTCAGGGGTGAATTTTTCAATTCATTTTTTTTAATTTGAGCAACATTGTGCATCTCATTTGTTGTCATTATATTGTATATATGTACTGTATCACACTGACCTCTAAATATCATGACTGCACCACCCATTGAAATTTAGTTGACCGCTAGTCTTTTATAGTTTCCTAACCAGATGTGACTTGATAAATGAGTGAGAAAACCTCTTCCATGCAAATCTTTTTGTTTTGGTTCTCTGGTCAATTTTGTTCCAACCACGTCTTGTCTGCATCTCTGATGTAGCGGTGATCGGCTCGTCCACAGTGAAATCTCATAGTTCCCACAGAACATAAAATTAAACATAAAATATCGATTGTGTATCCATTTTTTGTGTGAACAGGCATATTACTGGTCACCTGAAACTTGATGTTTTGCACCTGATATTTATACCTGGTATAAAACTCACATGTCAGATCATGTATTGAGGCTCAATCCACTAATACTGGCTCAAATTCTTGTGACATCCATGGGTAAGTTTTAAAAGTATGACCAGTCCTGTTTAGGATTTAAAGTTGCAAATTAGCTTAGTCCATTACTCCCGCCGTCAGAAATGTGAGGGCGGAACATGAGCTGCCTGCATGCCTAGGATGACTGAAAGCCTGGGCTGATGATGTCATGTGTCAGCCCTCCTGACTCATCATTTGTCTAATTGAGCTTTGCATCATGGGACAGGGACAGGCCCTCTCCCTCCCTTAACTGTCTGAAGCCACATTCCCCTCTAATCCATAACTAATACTGGCTAATACTACAGCACACGATCACACCACCCCATAGGGCATGATCCTTCACACACTGGACACTACTGCCAACTACTCCGCCAACAACTTGCCCACTATGGTTCCTTAATCACATACGCTCACGCAACCTCAGCACGTTGGTGCATCGCTGCACCCTGAATGCTACTTGACTCATAATCGCACAGCCATAGTTTCGGCTCGGCCCACACAAAATCTGACCCACTGGATTCAAACGCCCATCATTTGATAATCTTTCAGATTTGTCAGAGGAGCCTAGCAGCTGGCACACATACTCCAACACAAATAGGGAGCAAGTTGTTTTTAGTATATTAGAATCATACAGCACAACTAATCTAGTCTGATTCTTGAATGTATAGCTCTTATATGCTATTTTTTTAGTGGCTTAAAACTGTACAGTACAGAGAATGTGCACTAATTTCTGAATAAATTACTCTTATGAGGTGGATCTTTTTAGTGAGACAAACACACTACAGTTCAAAAGTTTGGGATCAGTTAGATTTTAATACTAATATTGCAATTAGTACTGCATCAAAGATGCTTTAATTTATTTAAAAATGACAGTAAAGACTTTTAAATTATAATATTAAGCAGTTGACTCAATATGTTTCTCGATTTACTTTGTCTGCAATTCCTCTATGTCCTGTATTGTGTGTATTGAGTATTTATACTTTGTCTACTAAAGAAAGAAAGCTGGTGGACTTGTGCTTATTACAAGCAAGATGTTTTATTGCCCTATTTTGGAAAAATACCAATTGCCCTTCCCTTTGAAAAACTTAATATCTTGTTTGGCTCTTGAAAAGCTTATGTATGTAACAAGGAAGAAACTCTTGGAGGTGTTTTTGGACTTTGTGAAAAATGGAGAGATTGAAGAAGCTTTAGATGCATGAAGTTATGGAATGTAAGAATGTTTATGAGGACTGCATGATATAAATCAATGCTTACAGTGTTTTTTTGTTGTTGTTTTTTAATCCTGGCTGGGGTATTTTCTGATGAATTGTGTTGTGTTTTTGTAAAATCTCAATAAAGATATGTTATACAAAATTTTAAGCAGTACAACGGTTTTCAGCATTGATAATAATAAGAAATGTTTCTTGGGCACCAAGTCAGCATATTAGAATGATTTCTTAAGGATCAAAACTGTAGTAATGTCTCCAAAAAAAAATTTTGCTTTGCCATCACAGGAATAAATTACATTTTAAAATACATTTAAACAGAAAACATTTATAAGCAAAATATTTAAATTTTTATTATTGAAATGTAATTAATTATAAATAAATTATATAATTTTTTTATTAAAATATTTTTTATTATAATTCACAATATTATTATATTTTGAGCATAAGAGACATCTAAAAAAAACGTAACTGACTCCAAACCTTTGTTTTTTTTTTTATAGCCTATTACATTATATTTAGTAGTTTTAAAGTTTTTTTTTATTACATTTATTATTTTTAAAGTGTATTATTAAAATTAAATACATTTCATTTTAATATTTTATTTTAATAAATTGATCTTTGCAGTGGCAGTGTGCCGATTTTTGTTCACTTATAGTGAAGTGCTTTATTTGATCGAGCACCTGCCTAAAGTTTCTGCGTGTACGCATATTATATTTTCTTTTGATATTATTAAAGTTATCTTATCATTTGCCAGTGAATTTGTTTTTATTTCCTTTTTTTGTAAATAAATATAATTATGTCTCTTTAGGGTGTTTTGGGTAGTAGCCATGATGTTGCTATGTAGGCGCTAAGGTGTTTTGAGTAATATTTAGCATGTTGCCATGCAATTTGTGGGATGATCTGAGATGTTGCCCACTTTTGAGTCTTTATGATATTCTGGTCCCTAGATATGACTCAGATTCTTCCTTCAATGAAGGTCTGATCACTTAAAGTAATAGCACACCTCGTTTCCGTTTGGCTCTAGTTATGGCCGAGAGCTTTCAGTCCTTTCCCATGCTCTTCCTCCATCTCTCGCCCGACACCTTCACCTCCATCAGCTATACAGCCAGCCCTGACAATACGTCATCCCTTTTTAAATGGTGAATCACCAGCCATAGTTCACATCTGTTCTCGGCTCAAAGAACCTAACCAGGAAAAACAAGCAATTACCAGTGGGCATTTTCAGTCAACTCTTTGGCGAGTCGGCTGGGGGGCTTGGCCGGGGGGGGTATGGTGGGCGGAGGAGATAATGAGACACAGTTAAAAATATCCCAGCACATTGTTTTCGCTGTCCCACATCCTCAGATAAGTGTGTGGCTATTGGCATTTGTTTAGTCACATGGTTGATCGATATCGGTTTTTACAAATTTTGCTTGTGGTCTTTCCAAAAATTGATTACATACTAGTTTGTTTCTGCCTATCTCTGAATATTTTATGTATAAGGTTGGTAAAAGGGGTAAGATACTTGGAGACTATACTGATCATGCCATTTCCTGCAGCCCTCACTTCCTGTCCTGTACACCCTGTCCAGTCAAGCAACCCATGAGGCTGTTCACCTCCTCTGCAGGATGCTGGTCTTTGACCCAGTAAGTGTTCTTGATACTTTATTCTCATAAACTGTAACATTACAATCTAAAGTAGTGGAACATTACAAATTAAACTACATGCTAAAATTAATCAATATAGACCATATTAAATTCATATTTTAAAACACACTTTTGTTTACTTGACAATGTTGTAATGAAACAAAAAATAATCATTTAAATTAAAAAAATAATAATAATTTTTTTATTATATATTTTATATTTATTTTAATATATACATATATATTATTATGATTATTTAAAAATATATTATATAATTTAATATATATTTATATAATTTATACTCATTTCATTTTGAAAATTAAAAATGTACTATATATGATTATAACTCAAATTAAAATATATATGATGTAAATAATTTAAAATATATGCAATTTATATATATATATATATATATATATATATATCATTTAAAAATAAATTTACCTATATAAAACTGTAAAATTGATCAGATTTATTGATTTATTGAAAGGAACGTTTAATTCAAACAAATCTGTTTTCCAATACAGTCGAAGCGGATCTCTGCAAAAGATGCACTGGCACACCCATATCTGGACGAGGGGCGTCTGCGGTACCACACCTGCATGTGCAAATGCTGCTACACCACTTCCTCTGGCCGCGTCTACACCAGTGACTTTGAGCCTGTCACTAACCCCAAGTTTGATGACGGCTTTGAGAAAAACCTGACGTCAGTTCGGCAGGTCAAAGGTGAGCGCGCTTATAATCAATTCAATTGTATTACACCTTGTGCTGATTGCCGTACATATTATACAACACGTGAGACACACATTGTTGGTCTATTCATTTAACCTTTTGTCCTGATCCACCCTCGGTTTGTAGACAGCGTGTTTAGTAGCTAAAGGTCTTAATTTAATTTATTTGAGAGCATGCGCCCGTCATGCCACCGCGTGTTAATCAGAAGTCTTGCTGGGCGTCTCCTGCTCCAGATCCCCCGCTGCTCCTGTTGTTTTTGTCCCTTGTTTTCACCCTTCATTCGGGGCCCCTGGATCTGTGCTTGCCTTCCACTGTCAGCGGATATTAGTGAGAGTCTGTCGCTAAAAGCAGGCTTACTGTGCTGTCGGCTCAAAATAACTCTGCCCTTCACCCTCCCTCCTCTTCCTCCATTCTGTGTGCAACGTGTTTCCACTGGAGGATTAGTCAGTGCAGATGGAGCCGACCGCCTGGAGACTTAAAGCGCTTTAGGGTAGGCAGCCGTGTTTAGAACGAGGGGGGAACCCCTCTTGGATCGACACACGAGGAGTTTCCACATTGGCCAAACTAGTTTTAAGCTTAATCGCTTGTATGCTAAAATAAAGAGTTAAGAGCTTTAGAAGTTATTACAGATAGTATAGTCTGCCTGTAGAATCCTCCTTCAGAATCGACTCTTTGACCTGTAAGGTTACTGCTAGAATAGATTTCTTTATTCAGTGTTTCATTCATAAGTTAGATTTGTCCTGGAAATACAAAATGCTAGATCTAGGTCTAGATAAAAAATCCTGCGAGTCACATCACTTCATCTTTTTTTCTTACAATGATGGAATGATGACAAAATTGCGTGAACTACTAAATGCCTTTAACTGGTTCATGTCATCATTTACTCACTCTCATGTCATTCGAAAATCGAAACCCATATTTTATTCAATAAGACAACAGGAGAAGTGCTTTAATTGTTTTGTGAACTGTCCTTTTAACCATGATAGCACGTAACTTCTAAACTGTTATTTAGAACTGTAACCTGTAATTTATTCCTTATTTCTCAGCATCTCTCCTATTTTCTTCCCCACACAGAGATCATTCATCAGTTCATCCTGGAGCAGCAGAAGGGGAATCGGGTACCGCTCTGTATCAACCCCCAATCAGCTGCCTTCAAAAGCTTTATCAGGTGAGGCCGCCGTCCACTTTACATAATCTGCTGCTTATGAGTGGATCTCATGATCAAGTGTCCAGGTTATATTTTACACTGAAAAAATGGCATAGAGAAATTAGTCCTGTGTTTAGGACCTTTAAAATTTTGCATTGTGATATTTTTTCATCACAAAGCTTCTCATCACTGTAATGTGAATATATATTATATATTTATATATTATATTGTGTGTGTGTATATATATATATATATATTTAATAAGTAAAATCAGCATAAATTTACATAAATTTAAATCAGTAGAAGTATGACAGCTTGTATGTATACATACAGTGTTTTTTACAGATATACTTTATCATTTAAATAATATATCGTTATTTAATTTTTATTTAAGTAATTTAGATTTTACATTTCAAAAGTCAGAATGAGATTTTGTGCCAGTTGTGGCAGGGATTTAAATGTGATACATTTTTATGAAAATAATGTTGTAATGCGAAAAAAAAATTTGTCCTAAAAATAAGCTTCATTTTCTTTATGTAGCAAATAATTTTTCATAATAAACTTTTTTTTATTTTTTATTTTTTTATGAAATAAGAGCCAGACAGTTGTTGACATTTTGTGAGATTCACCTTTACGTCCATGTTCTCATCTTCAGGGTTAACAGACATGCCAAATCAAAGCCAGTGAGCATGAATGTCATGTTTTTGACGGGGAGCCATGTTTTGAAAATGCTTTGGGTTGAAAGCAACATGCCATTGTTTAATATTTAGGCAAACTTTTTACATAAAAAGGTGTTTAATATAGTTTCTAACTGTAATTGCTTACACCTACAGCAACTTTTTGTGTCTTAACAAATCTAGAGCTTTTCAGGCTTATTTTGCAACTTATTTCTTAGTGTTTCAACACTAGATGGAGACATCTTCTTATCCTTAAAGCAAGACATAACAATCCCCTTTCTTTCTTTCTTTCTTTCTGTCCACAGCTCAACAGTAGCTCAGCCCTCTGAGATGCCTCCATCTCCTCTAGTTTGGGAGTAGCTGAGGACGGCGGAGAAGATGGCGTTGATAACAGTGGTGGTGGACATCCCTCCGGCAGCCCGTCCCGCACCCACCCCTCGCCCTCCTGGACTACTGACCCCCAGACATCCCCAAAACCTGCGTAGCATTTCACTGGAATCTAGGACTAGCCATGTCGCTGATGTGTGTGTGTGCATACTGTAATACTTACTAAATGGAGTTTTATAGAAGCAACCACTGCTGATGAGTTCAAGCGGGACACGGGACGGGTGGGCATGGTCACGGGGGGTCCGTTCGTTCATACCCACTGCTCTGTAGTAGTATACTAAAGGTTCGTGAAGGGTACGAACCTGTACTTTCGGCAGACGAAGTCGAGCCCTGTGGACTTGAATGTATTTTGAACAGCAGGGCGGCAGAATCTGTGCAGTATCCCTGAAGGAAAACTCATCACGACTATGTGTGCAAGTAATCATGCTTTATTTATTCATGGAAACAGGAAGTGCAGTGCTTCATGTAGTATGGAAAGAAGGCAAGTTCCTCTGAATCTGTCTTTCGTTCACGCTAGAACCAGGGTCGAAAAAACACTGTCCTCATTAGTAGCCTATTCATTAGGCCCATCCATATCAATTTGTTCCAGGCCTTGTGAATTTAGGTGACGGCCCTCATGAAAGGTGCGGTCACATTAACTGCTGCTCGGAATTTTGAGGGCAAAATCCAGTTGTTTCAGGATTCTGTGCGGTTTGTGTGCGGGCGAAAATATTCCTGATGTTCAAGTTGGTCACATGAATTTGCTGCACCAACTGACAGAAAGCTGCTTAGTTTAGAAGTACAGTACTTTGGTGTGTGAGCTGTGCTTAATACATCATTACGCTATTGACGAAAATCGGCAGCAAAATTGAAATATCACTAGTGTGACTGCACCTTAACAACTGTGACCACTCGTTTGGCTAGAGTGAGCTGCTCATTGCGTTTTTTGCCTTCTACGGCGGTGTGATTTTTACGACTTTCTTCCATTTTTGCTGTCATCTACACTCTTCCTTTCTTTCTCTGTCGATCTATCTTTGTTCGTATCTCGCTTTCCGTCTCATATTCAACTTTCGTCAGTAAAAAAAATCAGTATTCCTTAGCACTTGGCAGAGATACTGATCCGTAGGCTTCTCTTAGTACTCCTGAATGTGGATGTGTTGTGTCAGTATTTAGTGCTTTGGGTGGGTGACTGAACGGCACAGTGACTCGAAAGGATCCAAAGCATGCAAGATTGGCCCGAGGCAAAATGCTCGTACCAAAAGGGTTTATTTGAAGAGAAGGAGACTTAGTGAGAAAACCCAACTAGCATGTAGCGAAATGACATGGGGAGGTTTGTTTTCAGATGACCTTTGAACCTTGCTCTCCCTGATGGAGTATCTAAAATAGCATGCAAATGAAATTAAAGCCTAAAAATAAAAATAATAATAAGCAAATAAATAAATAATAGGTTGAACAATCAAATCATTCCATAATTGCAATGGTATGTTACAAAATCTTGTCTATGAAGACAAGTGACGCCATTGCGAGTGCATGTATGGACCCCGTGCATGCTTCTAACTGACTGTGGCATCACGCTTGTGATCCTGTAGATGTCAGTTCAGTGTCGTCTACTTTGACCCCCCTCAAAAGCCCTTTTTCTGTTAAAAGACTCAAGGCGATGATGGATCTGAAAAGGATGCCTGGGAAATAGTGTGTATTGTTGGTCTGGAACGTAATTGGGAGTAGTTTTCACTCTCTGTACCATGCTTAAATTTCCCATAATGATTTCTGTCACTGTCTTGGACTAAAAGAAAACAAATGGAAAATATTTAATATATTTTTAGAGAATTATTTTTATTTCTTCCTCAATGTGCTAGGGCATGCTTTCCCATGATCCACTGACTATGGTATGTAAATAAGTGAGTAGCAGGTAGAAATGAAAAATCTACGAAAAAATAAAACCTATAAAAAAATCGCCAAACAAAGAAAATGTAATACTGCTGTATAGAAGTTGAATTAGCCTGCACATTTTTTAGGGCTGTGAAATTTTATTTTATTTTTGAGACTTGCATATAAATGTACATATGTTTTTTCTCTCTCTCTTTTCTTCTTCTTTTTATTTTCCCCTGCACTAGAAAGTGTAGACAAAGAAATAATCCAAATCAGTATAGTACAAAAACAAACAAAAAACACATAACCAATTATGTTAATTGTGTCTTGTGTGCTGCAGAGCTGTGGATATGAGTATTGAAGTAGAGCCCTTTTTAATTATTATTATTATTATTAATCTCTTTTAAAGAAACACTGAACTGTTTGTGTATATGTATATAAAGGATTCACATTGTTGGTCTCTACCTCTCGAGCTCAATGACTTGGTTGTTTACCTCCACGCTTTTATTGTTATGTGGAGTTTATAAAACTTGAATGTCCCTTCCAACTTTTATATTCCTATCAAACCCTGTATAAAGAAATCAAGTCATTAAAATTGCGATTGGTTGGAGGTGGTTCCCATCATCATATCCTTGTACAAAGTACCATGTTCTCACCCCAGTGTTCTTTGACTGTTAGATCACACAGCATACCCACAACGATAAACATGGTATCCTTCACCGAGAGCCGTCGGATGAGATAAACATACAAAATACGTACCAACTTAAGAAGCGGGCGTACCTAAGATAGTGTGCGGATGCAAACAGAGCCTGTGAGAAGAGAATAACACACACGCTCGATCGGGCCAAATAGGGAAGGTACTGCACTTGCTGTCAAGTTTTTATAAGGAAGTTTGAAGTTTATACTCAGAGTTAATGGTATTTGAATACATTTTACGACATATATGACTATAATATAAAATTTGCATTCAATGCCCTGAAAGCAGAGGAGGTGATTCTTAGGGACCGGAAGGACTCTGTGGATGTGTTCTGTGTTTTGAAAATCACTGGTCTCTTTTCAGAGTGTAGATTTGAAGTACAGTGGTGACGCTCATTAAATGTTGACATTTAAAAAAGTGTGTTGTTTCTGTCCTTATTTTACTTACAATAAGGGGGGGGGGGGCTGATGACCAAGTTAAACTGAGTGCCAAACTGTGAACTTCAAATGGCAGTATTTGGAAAGGTGTTTAGTTTGTCTCTTTTTTCAAACGTGAGTTTTGAGCAGTGTAGAGCAGCGCTTGTTGTTTGTCATTTCTCCGATCACAAATGCAGACATGGTTTTATGTTTATGCGTCGCCATATGCAACGCAATCCGTAAAAAGACAGTATAAGTCATTATAATCCGTAATTATGTCCCCACTGGATGCAACAAAAGCCTCGTTTATAATGGGTTTTAATGTTTTTGTCTCGTCGCTCCGGCCGGGACACGGCATCACAATATGGTAGGGGCGTAACATTTCCGTCACACGCTTGAGGTATTCGGCCAATCACAACGCACTGGATAGCTGGCCAATCAGAGCACACCTCGCTTCCTCAGACCGATGAGCTTTGTAAAATCGAAAGGCGGGGCATAGAGGAGAAACAATAATGTACAGTATGTGCTAAATAATGTGTTTTTTAACCTTAAACCGCATAAACACATTGCATTACACCAAATACACAAAATAATGTTCTTTTTAGCAACATCATATGACCCCTTTAACAGGATGTCTCATAGAGTGGAAATAGAAAGTTAAAGTTGGCTATTAATCAGTGAGAGAAGGGCTGTTAGCTTAGATGAGGGTGCCAAATTAAAGTTCATTTTGATATTAATCATATTTTGAAATTGTTATACAAATCTTTCAGTAAGAGTAAAACAAACCAACTAATCTTGCTAATGCTTATGTTTATGCTTATGCTTGTATTTTTCCCACCAAAATGATGTCACTTCCTAGAGGATGAAGTCAGGAGGATGAAATTGAGGGCAGGAAAAAAATCAACAGTATAAAGTGAATACCAATTAAAACAGTGGTTTTCAAAATGAGTTAAAATAAGATAATAAAAAAGGAATAAACATAAAAATGAAGATATTTGTCATTTAAATTCAGCCTCTCAACAACTGTTTGTTTCTTTGAAGAACCAGGGTCCTCACTCTTTAGAAAACGGAGGTAGCCTAATTTCAAGACCTAAGAGTCATTTTATACATTTTATAAATATGCATTTTTCTAGTTATGGCTATCTCTAAAATATTTTATCAGAAATTGTGAGTAAAAATGTTCTTTAAAATCTTTATCCTTAATGATTAAATCGTGAACAACTGGAAAATCAAGAGCCTTCAAATAGTGTTAAGGACAATGGAGGGCCATTGAGTCAAAAATGTTGAGAACCACTGAATTAAAACATTCTTTTATTTAAATTATTTAGTTTGATTAGATTAAAGGAAAGACTTCAAGGAATTTATGGAACTTTAAAGCAAAAATTTTTTTTTTTACTTTTTCTGGCATGTTCTCAATCCAAGAAGTACAAATTTGAAAGATTAAATCGTATGTTCACTTAATTCTGATACATTCACATAAACAAAACGGGGTTTTTTCTTGCAACATTTGTGTAATCTATCCATGTTTTGTTGAAGTGTCAAATAATCAAGACGTCTAAGTGTGATCATGGAATCATGGAAGAGTAAAAACAGATTAGAAAAGATGGCAAATCCTGGGGGAACGTTTCAGAAAGTACAGCTCATTATAGGGGTTCACACCTCTTTCAAGAAACTTTGTTTCTAAATGATCTTTCATCAGGACAAACGTGATTTATGCATCTTATTTTTTTTTAAATGTTCTACTTTATATAGAATTACCTGCCACAAGATGTGTCAGAGAAATCATGAAACATGAGTATTATTTTCATAGACACAACAGTTAATGCCAGTATTGTTGGATTCCTTTACCAAGGAATTTGTGATAGAAGTAGGTCAGCTAAGTGAAGATCTCATGTCATAGATATTTTAATGTTGTATTGACTTGTGAACGCCAAAAACGACATCTATGAGAAGATAAAGTGACAAAGGCGCAGTGTGAAGGTGCAAGGGATTAATAAACAATGACTACAGTCGTTTATTACATTGTTGGAGAGTCTGAGTATCTTATCTACAAAACAATATTCTGTCAGCTATCAGCCCACACACCATATAACAGAGCCGTCTTTTGTTATAAGGTCAGGAATATAGATTATAATGTTTTACGAGATGCATGTGATTTACATTTTGGTTTAATATCTTGAAAGCTCACAAAATATTATCGCTGATGCGTGGGGAATTCTTCTTGTGAGCGAGTACACACACACACAGCATAAGAATGACTTTGATGCGTCTGGGGCTTTTCTTGCTTAAACAATGAGTGCTTTCACTGGAGTCTCCATGCAGGTGAAATTAGGGGATTGTAGGCCGCCATCTGGACGCTGTAGTGACTCGACCTGCAGACAACAGACAACTGATTCTCAGCACCTTTCATTTAATTTATAGTTCAAACACACAGAAGGGTTGGTTTTTATTAATTTTATTTATTTATTTTTTTTGTAATTGTCAGCGGTGTTCTAACTTAACTACACCGAATTTACAAGAAAAAAATACTTTATTTATTACAAAATTTAAAATGTAATAAATAATAATACTAAGAAGAAGAAGGTGCAGGTAGAGGTCTGCGCGGGACTGATTTTTTCATTTAAATTTCCTCTACTGAAAGAAAGAGAAATAAAAGTGTAGTCTGCACAAAATTGTGTTATTTTATTCGTCTTGTCGAGAGTCTTGAATTTATTGACTTTGACTTGAATTTATATGAATTATCTTAAGACACAAAATTCGTTTAATATTTTATGCAACACAGTAGGGAAAAAAGTGTCAGAGAAAATAAAAAATTTACAAACATTTTATTTCTTATTTTTATTCGTCTTGTCAGGATACAATTCGTTTAACATTGACAACACAATAGGGAAAATGTGTTGCAGAGAGAAAAAAAATATACAAATGTAGGTTGTACAAAAATAGCCTATTAGCTATTTTTATTCGTCTTGTCAAAATACTAAATTCGTTTGACATTTTTCTGTTAACACAGTAGGAAAAGTGTCGCAGAGAAAAATAAATAAATACAACATCTTTCATTTAAAATTATAGGCTAAGCAAAATATACACAAAACCGAGTTAAACGTCCTTCAAGGACAGCGCATTCCCACTTTGCTCCATCCTTGTTCTGCTCTGTCACTCATTGACAACCTGCCTGTTCTGTCTGAGGGCCGTATATTTACCACAGGTACAGCCTGCTCTGAGCAT